TCATTGTGGGGTGGATCGGCTGTCCTTCCTGTGTCCCAGTGTTCTCCTGGTGGGCCTGTCTCCCCCACTGCCCATGCTCCAAACATTTCCCATGGGGCAGGCCCTGTGCCAGTCCCTTGTGATGTCTCACCAGCCTCTAAATGGCTCCCCTTTTTCAGCAATTCTGGCTCCTCACTCCTATGTGAGTCCACAAGAACCCTATAAGTGGTCTTGCTGTCCTGGGGGCCACAAAGGCCCCCTTCTCCCCTGCCACCTCAAGCAACTCCATCTGAAGGGCACAGCTGCACTTCTGCTGGCTCCTGCTCCATGTGCTCAAGCAGTTCCAGCCTTAAAGCAACCATGGCCTGAAACACTCCAAGCAGTTTTTTCTTTCTCTCATTGTGGCTTCTTCCCCTTCATGAACTCCATTTAAAGCGGCCATGGCCAGAAACACTCTGAACAGTTTTTTTCTTTCTCTCATTGTGGCTTCTTCCCCTTCATGAACTCCATTTAAAGCGGCCATGGCCAGAAACACTCTGAACAGTTTTTTTCTTTCTCTCATTGTGGCTTCTTCCCCTTCATGAACTCCATTTAAAGCGGCCATGGCCAGAAACACTCTGAACAGTTTTTTTCTTTCTCTCATTGTGGCTTCTTCCCCTTCATGAACTCCATTTAAAGCGGCCATGGCCAGAAACACTCTGAACAGTTTTTTTCTTTCTCTCATTGTGGCTTCTCTCCCTTCATGAGCTTCATAGGTCTCTCCTCCTCTTCCCCTGAGCTCCAGCAGCCCCAGCTTGGCTGATGTTACATTTTTATAGTTGTAAATTGGTTGATTTGTGGGAGAGAGTGATGCTGGGGACCATCTATTCCGCCATCTTGACTGGAACTCCTGTACTGAAGTGTTTTGACCATGTCAAACACATCTGCAACTTTATTCCCATTAAAGAGAAGTAAAATATTCAAGAAATCTGAAATCAAAAGGGCCTTATCGAATTTGAGAGTTTCATTAGTTTGTTAATTTTGCATTCGTGTGAAGATGATTTGCATTTATTTTGAAGTTCTTTGAACTCTACCAACAAGCAAAGGAGGATAGAACAAAATAAACATCTTTAGTAGTAATTTGATTATAGGGAATCTTGTGTTGAGGCAAAGAAGTTTGAATGTTGAATCTTACCAATTATTTAATTTTGCTCAGAACATACTGAATTTCTTGAAAGACATTTTATGTTAATCAAAAGTGTATCTATAACTATCAGAAAATGAATACAAATTAAATATAGTAGCAAAAATCAATACTTTTAGAATTCCTGTTTTTACCTGAACTTCCATGTACAGTTGTCCCTCAGTTTCCATGAGGTGCTGGTTCCAGGACCTCCAGTGGATACCAAAATCTGCAGATGCCCAAGTACCTGATAAAATGGCATAGTGTTTTCGGATAGCCTATGCACATCCTCTTGTATACTTTAAATCATCACTAGATTACTTATAATACCTAATGTAATGTAAATGCTATGTAAATAGTTGTTATACTGTATTGTTTAGGGAATGATGACCAAAAAAAAGTCTGTACATATTCAGTCCAGACACGTTTTTTTTTTTGGAGTATTTTCTATCTGAGGTTGGTTTAATCCATGGATGCGGAACCCATGGATATGAGGGTTGACTATATTAGCTTCAAGCTGCAAAATACTGTAGTTATTTAAATTGGATTATTATTAAATTTAATTTGATATTTTGTTTTGATTCTGGGAAATGGAAGTTTTTTCCCTGTGATCCCATCAACCACATTTATTTTAGAATTTTAGAGAATTTCTTGTTTTTCAAACACTGGATATAAGAACGATTACTACTTTATGTTTAAGATATAGGGGTTATTTTGCTGCTTGCTATTCTATAGATGTTGATCAGCAGTATAACTTAATATTTTATTCCAGGTAATCAAGCACAGTGAACATGTTCATTTGTTGATACCTTTTAATAAGATGTAAGGCTCAACCAGACTAAAAATAAAAAATAATAAAACTGAGTTGGTGGTATCCTAGTGTTTACTCTTCTAATTTAGATGTGATAGACAGTACCTGAAGTTTAATTTGTTCTTAATAAGCCTGGATGAAAAAGCCTATTTGATTCATATTACTGATGATATGCATGGACACATCATTAGGAAGATTAATGACAATTTGTTGATGAATACTTTATTCTATTTATGACTCAGTAAAACTGACAGGTACTTGATCAGAGATAAAACTTTATGTGTCACAAATATGTTTTACACTAGGAATCTCAGCTTGGCCAGTTTCTTAGCTGATAACTCTGAATAAGATGTAAAGCTTGGGCTGGCCAGTTAGCTCAGTTGGTTAGAGCATGGTGCTGATAATATCAAGGTCCAGAGTTCAATCCCTGTACCAGCCAGCTGCTAAAAAAAGAAAAAGAAGATGTAAAGCTCAACTTAAATACAAATTAAAAAATAAATTTAAATTTTAAAGTAAAAAATTAAATAAAATATTTAATTAATAAAATAAATACATTAAAAAACTTAAATAAAAAATAATACAAGGGTACTTCAAAAAGTTCTTGGAAAGATTTGTGTTTTTAATTCTATTTTTCCATGAAATTTTGAAGTACCCTTGTAGTATTTAGTTAGGATGTTAGTGTTTATCAAAGGCAGTTTTATAAATATGCAGATTATTCTTTTCTTATTTAGATATTAGAACATTTAAAAAATTTGCTTAGGCATAGAGAAATGAAATTAAAACCCTTCTCACAATTGCCTTTGACATTAATTTGGAGAAGTCTATTTTGTAGTAGTATAAACTGTACTTTTTAGATCCAGGTATTTAGTTTGACTAGCTTCCTTTGGTATTATTTTACCTTTTAAATGCTGCAATATTTCGTTTAAAAAAATCACTGGAATTGTTCAACATTGCAACAGCCTGCTTTTGATTGTATATAATTTTACAGTCATGCCTGTTTCTCATTTGATTCACACCATAACCCTTTCAGTTTGGCAGCAAGATGTAATCTCTAAATTCTATTTTAACAATATCTGAAAGAGAGACGAAGGTTATTTGATTTGCTCAAGGTTACCAAGTTAGTAAGTAGTAAAGTGTTGGGACTTGGAGCCAGATCTTCTGGTTCTTGGCTGCTTTTGTTCGTAATTCATAATTGACCTATTACCTCATTGTAGTTCTTTATCTTAGAATGCAAGCATAATGTAAAAACTCTTGCATGGCAGAGAGATGGGGAAAAGCATGTGAACTGGTATAGCATAGTTCCTTCTGGTATTCAGATTATCTTTTTCAAAGTTGATTTGCTGCAAGCATTTTCATTTTTAAAGGATTTTATTTTTATTTGGGACAAGTGCTAATATTTATATAGTGCTTTACTATTTATCAAGTGACTTCTTTTCTGTGATCTCATTTAATGCTCTTACCAGTCTTGAGTAGTAGGCATTATTATTGTTTTAAAGTATCTCCTATGGAAAAGAAAAATAAAATGAGACAATAATTTTTCCAGAGTCACAGCGTTAGGTAGTTTGCACAGCTGGGACTCAAATCTAAGCCTTTTAAATTCATATCTTATAAAATAATACTTTTTTAAAAAAAGAAATGTTAAAATAAAATGTATTTCTTAATTTCTCAGAAATCTTATTAATAGAAAATTTAGGACTCCTTGGAACTTTCTAAATATTTCTACAGTATATTCTTGGTTGTTTCATTGTGATTTCATACATCAACAACTAAGTCCATTGTTTCAAGTTTAGGCCACATTTTGGGCAGTGTGTTTTACCATTTACTGTAGTTTTGTCTTGTATCATGTCTGTTTTTCTTTTTTCTTGTGAGCTATCAGAGTTCTAACCTTGCTTCTAATCAATCTTCCTCCAACTTTTCTCATTTGTTACTTGCATTTAGAGTCTGATATTGTGAAATATTTGAATTTAGATTTTTCTGTTACATTCATTTATTCTCCCCACTGGTGATTTGTTGTATATAAGAAACAACTTTAGTATAATGTAATCGTATGTATGTATGTTTATATATATTTATGTATGTGTCTGTCTAGGATTTCACCGAGTTAATAGAATTTCCTTCTTACGTGCATTTAAACATTCAAATAAAAATACAGATTATTTTTTAGAATTGACTTTTATTATTTGATACAAAGTTCAATATAACGTTTGCTAATAATTTTTAGTTAATTCCTCCTGAGATTGAGTATCATAGTTCAGGATTTTTATTTTGAAAACCTGGTGAGGATTGAGTACAATATTCTATAGGTAGGATGTTTTGAGTTTGTGTTAAAATTGTGTCAATGGTGGAACATTTCTCTTAAATAAATTTCCCTGTTGAAATCATTTCTTAGGTTTGGAGGAGAAAGGTGAAGGAATACAGAAGTGTGAACAACACACATTCAAAGTGTGTTGTGTGCCATGGTTGAAAAGTTAATTAATTAATTAATTAATTTTTTAACCCTGAGCTAGTACGACAGCCAGCTTGTCAGGGTCTCTTACCTACTGTGTTGTCTTTCTCTTTTATATGCATCTTTAATCTCTTATTCCAGTTCTTTATAGGAATGATGTATCAACTCCCTAAATGTTTCTTGTTTTTTTTGTAAACAAGGAGTTTGCTTATAACTTCACCTTTTTCTTCAAGCTAAATCTCAGATATGTGCCATCTGGAAAGTGCTCCTTTTAAAAAAAAATTGAGGAGGCATCCTTTTAGTTTACTTTACTTAACTCATTCAATTAATGAAATAAGATAAATTTTGCCCTAATGAATTCTGCTGAAGTAGTTTTGTTGATTAGTCAGCTCTGTGTGTGTGTGTCAGTGGTTGTTTTCTGGGTAAGATAGCCAAACGTCGAATAGGCAAACCCTTAAACCCAATTTTATATTTTAGTACTTCGAATGATTACTGTAAATTACCAGCCAGCATCTAGTATACTTTTCTAATTATCTGTTTAATAAAATCAGTGTTGTTCAGAATATTTTCTTTTCTGTTGTCCCCCCCCCCCCACTTCTTAGGGACATAGTTCTCAAACTACTTCAATATGAGGCATCAACAAATGTAGCAGACAACAAAGGATATTTTCCTATTCACCTGGCTGCCTGGAAGGGAGATGTGGAAATTGTGAAGATTCTTATTCATCATGGACCATCACATTCCAGAGTCAATGAACAGGTACACTTGTCAAATGTTTGCTCAGGCTGTAATTTTTCTAGAGTTTCATGAAGGCAAAGCTGCATTGAAAAATTGATTATTTTTTTATCTTCACCCTGCCAAATTCCTTTCCATTGTTGAATTTCCTAAAGGAGAAAGTAGGAAAATTCTTTGGCATTTGGATATGATGTGCAGCACTAAGCTGGGCATTTGTAAAGATATTTTGTTGATGAGAAAATCCCACATAAAGAAGTAGTTGTAATATTCTTGCCTGCCTTATATAATCATCCATTTTATAGCTGTTGAATATTTAAAGATAGGACAGAATTCACATTTGTAATGAGAATTAAAGTGTTTCTTAATAAAATTTTAAATGTTAAAACAATGATGGTAACTAACATTTGCATAATGCTCTACCATTTACATAGCACTTTCACAGTTAAGCACATTCTATGAACCAAAATGCAAAATAGTGTATGCTGTTGCCAGTCACGTATTAAGTTAGAATGTCCTTTATGTATATATATACATATGACCAGAGTAGTTGAGTAAAACACAGCAGCAGTATGATTCTGACAGATAAAGTCAAAGTATTGATAAGTACATAATATCTGTATTATACTTAACAAACATATTTAAAAAGGAATGTTATTCTCAGTATTCTAAACAGAGAAGGCCACAGATTCCAAAAGTAAAATATGGTCTCCTAATACAGTATGATAACAAACATCTTGAGCTCTGTATGCCCCCTACTGTTCCCATTTTGTAAAACTATATTTGAAAACCAGTGTGCAGTCTTAACAATCAAATTACAACCATGGCATTAAGCTGCAGGTTGGCAGTTGTCCAAATATCAATGCAAGTAGGTTACTCTAGGGCAAGCACATCTAATTAAGTACAATTAGCACAATATTCAAATAGATACAGACTTTGCAGCCCTTTGACTGAAATTTAGACTAAAGAATAAAAAGTAATACTAGCTGTAAACAGTAAAGGGGAGAAAAATATGTATATTTTCAAGCAATTGTTGAAAGGACTAATCAGGAAAAACATTTTATTTAAAAAAGTGTTTTATTAGTATTTATCACAATATAATTTCCATGTATACAGGTTATAAAAGTGCAGATTTTTAAATGAAAATATACTCAATCTTTAAAAAATGACAGATATGGCTATTTTTATCATCACATACTACAAGAAAGTTTATGAGAATGCTCTTCTGTTCCTTAGAAAAGCAAAAGTTAGATCATTTACAGGGTGAGCCATCTGGTGGCTTAAAACTGTCTAAATGTCACAAAACACACATGAAATAATAAAAGTTTTTACAAAAAATGTTTTTAAATGACATGAAAATAAGAGAAAAAACAGTACTCATTTGTATTGGAAAGTAGAGAATTTTAAATGGCATATAACTGTAATGGTATGTTTTAAAGAGAAACACTTGTTTTCAGTGATGTTGAACAGATCAATTAAGTTATAAAAAATGTCTTTTTAAGGAGATTGAATTTCAAAGTTCTTTTTGCCCTTCTATTGCTTTGTGTTCTGGTTTCTATTGGCAACAAGTTGAAAGTTTCTTGAGATTTTTAATACCATGCTTTCAGGTTTTATTGTTCTCCCATTCTATGCCATTTCTCCTAAAAATTTCTCATATGGGAATTTTATTTTTATAAGGAACTTTTGGTTTTAGCTTTATTCTTGTTTTTTTTTTCTTCTGAATGGGACAGGAATTTCTAGCTAATTATAAAACTTTATGTATTTAAACAATAGATGGAGGAAATGAAAATGGTAATTAGCATAAGATTAGCCAGGTACTGTTCCAAGCACTTTCCCCTGCAGAATGTTATTTAATTCTCAAAATAATCTTCTGAAGTGATATTATCACTCCCATTTTTAGATGAGAAATCACTCAGTAAAGATAAATAACTAGTCTAAGGTCACATGTTACCGAGTGACTAAAACCAAGACTTGGACTCAGGTCTCTCTGACTCCACAGCCCTCCACAGTAGTACATCAGCATTATCATCCTAAATCCTGCCATTTACGGAGTGTTTACCACAAGCATACTTCAAAAATTTTGTGGAAAAAAAATTAAAAGATTATATGAATATTTCCATGAACTTTTTGAAGTACCCTCATATTATGATTATTATGTTTTTGGTGGCTTGCAGGTTCAGGGATCCAAACTCCTGACCTTGGTGTTATAACACTGTGCTCTAACCAACTGAATTAACCTGCCAGCCACATTGTTTTTTAAGTTTTTGAAAATATATTTATTTTAAAGAAATATTTTGTTACGTTTGTTTACTTCTAAATTTAAATTTATTTGTTAGGCATTGTGCAATTGTCTACATTATTGTACAATGCCCTGTAGCAGCCTGATGAGGTAGGTATTAATTATAATTTCCACTTTACATGTGGGGATATAGCTTTAGTGAGATTAAGTAACTTGCCCATGCTGTCACAGCTTTTGAGATATGCAGTCAGTATTTGAAAACAGGCTTTTCCGATCTAAAGCACTAGCTCTTAACCAATAATACACTATGTTATGATGTTAAAATTATGTATTATAAATTAGGGCTTCATTCTAGTTTCTGAAAGTTATCCTTGGTTTCTACTACAGCTTTCTGTAAAAATAATTGTCTTACATTTTAATATTTAAAGTTTACTATGCATTTTCCTATATGGAATCTCTTTTGATTTGTAAACTACACTATAAGGTTTATAGGGAAGGTAATATTCTCATTATACAGATAAGTTATAGACTCAGAGAAATGAAGTGATTTACTGTTGTGAATAGTGGCATGCTAACACTTCAACCTAGATCCCATTCACCATGCTATACTGCCCTAGAATTAGTGGTTAATTTAGTGTGACATAATTTTGAATAACAACGTGGACTCTGCCCTGATTATCGTTTTTATAATTGCCACATCCTTCCTATCTTTTGTCAACTCATTTATTATTTCCTTTCTTCTGATGTTATGTATGTTTTAAATTTCTATTTCCTTTTTCATTAATTTCCCCCTCACGCCACCCTTCACCTTCTCTTCCTCTTTTTTTTTCTTTATTTTAACATTAGGGTAAAATCTAGAGGAACTTATCTCAAAAATATATTACCTTTGCCATTCACTAAAATTGAAGCCCAGCTTGTATTAGATATTTTACTTTGAAGCAAAATCTTTTGGTAAATACCTTTTGACAACCAGTTTTGTTCTGCCACTCATTGTCTGGATTTGTCCTCATTTTTCAGGTAACACCCATGTGGTAAAAAAAGAAGGAATTCAAAACCCTTTAAGAATGTTCTGTGTAGACATATTAGCAATTATTAATCAGTTCTTCATCAACAGCCTATTTATTTCAAATTAGATGTTTTTTAAGACCACTAGTGAGTGTGGACACAAGTATGCAATCATGCCTTTGTAAAGGTGCCACAGTTGTGGTCCTCATTGATGTGACAACCTAAGTATGTATTGATCACGGATAAGATCTGTGAACATTTTCTCCTGAGTAGGTCTTTAGTGATTGAAATAATTTCTCTTGAGATCTGAACAGTGCTAATTGGTGTGATTAGAAACACTTTCAATTTTGCTCTTATAAATTTCCTAGGCTAAGGGCTATGGAAAAGTAGAGAGGTCTTTGAGGAATCATTATTTTATAACTGGCCTTTCTCTTTTCTCCAAGAGGTGCTGCATTTTGAAAAATGAGATTGCATCTCTTTCAGACAAAGGGGAAATTTGGGTTGGTCAGGAGGCATATTTCTATGGCATAAAGTAATAAGAGTAGCTTTTTAAATCAGGCTTATAAAACTTAGCCAGATTAAAAAAAAATCAGGGAGTCTTAACCTGTATGTGGCCAGTATCTGTGAGGAAGTAGATTATAGTAACACATTCAAACTGAGTACAAGAATGGCTCCCCACAATTGATGGAGAAAACAATGTCTTCAGCTGGATTCCTGGTGTATCAGATCTTAACTTTTCATTGACCGTCTCCAAGGAATAGGTTTTTCCTCTGGATTTGACCTTTAAATGGCCTCTCTTGATAACTTTTTTGAAACATAACATAGTAAGAAGCCTTTTCTAGTACTTTTATTCCCCCTTGCCACTCTTCTTTTTAAGTTTTCAAATCTTCCCTCTAGACTCTTAACTTACTTATCTTCCTGAGTTACTTTCTGGAACATTAAGATTTGTTTGAGTTTGAAACCTCCTTATCCTTTTATTTTGGTCAGAACAACTATCTAAGCAGCTACTTCCTATTATAACTCAGCTGGTGATTTTCTGGGTAAAATCTCTAGAAATTCTGCTTTTAGATCATTAATTTCCACTAATTTGATAATTTGGCACAGGAAGCATGGTATAGTGGAAAAAGCATGGGCTTTGGATTTTGACATATAGGTTCCAAAAGATCCTGATTCTGCCTGAACATGTAAATTAACCTTTTCGTATTTTAGTTTTCTCATCCATGAAATGGATATAATAATACCAATCTTGTAGGATTGTTGTAAGAGTTAAATGAGACAATATATGTAAAGTTTTTAGCCACTCAGCAAGTGGTAATAATAATAATTGTTATTGTGGAAGGTGTTATGTATGATGGGTAACCCAACTTTGGGTCTGGGCTACTTGGGTTCAAATCCTGACCCTGCCACTAAAGGATTGTTGTAAGAGTTAAATGAGACAATATATGTAAAGTTTTTAGCCACTCAGCAAGTGGTAGTAATAATAATTGTTATTGTGGAAGGTGTTATGTATGATGGGTAACCCAACTTTGGGTCTGGGCTACTTGGGTTCAAATCCTGACCCTGCCACTAAAGGGCTGTTTGATCAAAGGCCAGTTACTCAACTACTCAGTGCCTTAATTTCCTCATCTGTAGAATGGGGATAATAATGATAATATGTATCTCATAATGAGGATTAAATTAGCAAACATATATGAAATGCAACTGTGTCTGGAACATAGTGTTAGCTTGATGATGACTCTGATGACAGAGCTGCTCTTTCTCTCTAAAACCCTCATTTAGGATCAATGCATTTTTGTTGCTGAAATTTCTTGTTCACATTTCTCCTGACTGACCTTTCCACCTCCTGATATACCCATATTCCATCTACCTATACAGTCTGCCCAAATGGCCTGAAGAGTCCATCTCCCTTGCAACTGGGTTCAATTTTCTCTATCTTAACATTTTTTTATCTTGCTAATTTTTTAGGAAAATCTTATTGCTTTTCAATTTAAATACTTATAAACTGCACATGCATTACTGTGATACTCCTGGTAATTTATCCAGGAATGGGCGTAGGTCTGCCTCTCAATCTATAATTATGTTTCAAAAAGATACTATTGTTTCTTAGGGTCAGAATGTCTTCATTCTCTTTGTAAAAGAAGCAAAGATTTGTACTTACGTGGAAAATAAAATGAAACTTAATTTGGGAAACCTTTGTGTAAATCTTCCATTGTCAAGAATTTACTATTTCAACTGTCTTTTGGAAAGCCAGTCTGTTAAAAGTGTGTTATAATTGTTATTAATCTCTTTCATTAACAAATGTCATGGAGACAAGATGCACAGTGCGGATGACACTGGCCATCTGGGCCCAGCAGGGCCACTGACTAACATGGCTAAATCATTTATCATTCTTGGAAGTTAGGATATATGATGCAGGGGAAAGTTTGATTTTTTCCTACCAAAGTGATAAAAATAAAATATGATATTTTTGATGCGATGAGTGTTAGTTTTTATCAAATATCAAATTCAATTATGCATACTTATTAAAATAGATAAATCTTAAACTTACATTTTCAAAGCATTCTCAGGTTTTAAATTACTGTGTTCAGATTTTGATAACTAATTTATGCCTTTTATATCTTTGTCTTAAACAGAACAATGAAAATGAAACTGCCCTACATTGTGCAGCTCAATATGGACACTCAGAAGTAGTTGCTGTTCTTCTAGAAGAGCTTACTGACCCTACGATTAGGAACAGCAAGCTCGAAACACCTTTGGACTTGGCGGCACTCTATGGACGGCTTAGAGTAGTCAAAATGATCATCAGTGCGCACCCTAACTTAATGAGCTGCAACACTCGAAAGCATACGCCACTTCACCTTGCTGCACGCAATGGTCACAAAGCAGTTGTACAGGTGTTGTTGGAGGCAGGAATGGATGTGAGCTGTCAAGTGAGTCTTCTTTTAGCTACGTCTTAAAAGCGATGATGCTCTTGCTTTCCTTTGAGATACAGATGTTAAAACCTACATATACAAATCTTTTAATCAAATTGTCTGCAAGTATTTTTGTAACTATTAAAATCAATGTACTGTACCACACACTGTTGGGAAATAAGAAAAGATATAAGGCATAATCTCTAACATCATTCTACTGTGAAGGCTATACACACAAAAAAATTATTAGTAGATGGCAGTTTTGTGTGGTTTCATTATAATTGTTTCCTTTCTCCCAGTCTCTAGCACACAGACTGACATATAGTCAGAATTCAGCCAAAGTTTAATAAGTGAATAAATGAAACAAAATTCACTTCAATATTTTTGAGTATGTATTTGTATTTAGCATGTTGACACATTTAAAATTCAATTCTCATAGATGTCCTGTGGGATGGAGAGCCATTAAGTTTCAGTTAAGGGATGAGGAATCAGATTAAAAGACTTATGATACTTGTCTAAGGACACATAGCTGATAAAACTGGGAAGTGAGTTTAGACTTACTGATTAAAGTCTAGGCCTCTTTCCACTATCATGTACTGTCTGTAAGTAGCTGATGAAGGAACCATCACTGTGCCTAAGGACAATAAGAAAAAAATTTATTAAAGAAGTGTGATTTGAGTTCAACTTTGAAGGAAAGATAGTATTTGGATAGCTTTTGTTTCTCCATGAGGAAAGGGCAACCTTATCTGTCTTAAGTTAGCTCCAACTCCTGGGTTAGTCTTTTTTTAAAATTTTTTATTTTTTTTACTAATTTCTCCTTTCATGGTGGTTTCTTGGCTCTCAAGTTGGTGGCAGCATTATCTTCCGGAGACCTTTTTGATTTCTCTTAGATCGTGTCCTTCTCCCCTGTTAATTAGTAAACTATTGCTGCATAATGAACTATTCCAAAACTTAATGGCTCAACACAGTATCTGTTTGTTTATCTTATAATTCTGGGATTGGCAATTTAGTCTAACCTCAGCTGGATAGTTCTTCTGGTCTTGGCTGGGTTCTCTTATGTGTGTGGGGTCAATTGCAAGTCAGTTAAGTGTCTCTCTTTTGGGAGTTGGCTGCATACTGTTTGGGGTGATGGGTGAGACTGCCACACATCTGTCATGATTCAGCAGGTCAGCCTGGCTGGGTTCTCTTATGTGTGTGGGGTCAATTGCAAGTCAGTTAAGTGTCTCTCTTTTGGGGAGTTGGCTGCATACTGTTTGGGGTATGGGTGAGACTGCCACACATCTGTCATGATTCAGCAGGTCAGCCTGCGCTATTTCACATGGCAGCAGTCTGGTCCTGAGAGAGAGAACAGAATTGTACAGGGCTTCTTAAGGCCTGGGCTTAGAACTAGCACATCATTGCATATCATCACTTCTTCCATATTCAAATGGCCAAAGCAAGTTACAAAGGCAACTCAAATTCAAGGGGTGGGAAAGTAAACTCTACCTCTGGATTAGAAGAGGGTGTGAATTGTAAAAGGGGTGTGAATACTCAGAGGGAAAAATGTAGCCAATTTTGCAAACAGTCTACATACTGCAGGTGAAATTAGTGTTCAACTGTGGGGTTACTTTTCCTAGGAATTGTTCAGAGGTTGAAACCTGCGTCTCCAGGATTTTCTTTATTGAATATTTAAAAATCTTAGACCTTCCAATCTCAGGTTTAAGGCTGGCACCCTAAATCAGAATTTTCTTTAGAGTTTTGCCTGCATAATTTAGTTGTTTAGATATTTGTAATATCTTTTCTCAATTTCTTATTTATTCACCTTTTGACACCTTGGAAATAAGCACAAGCATTTTTTCTATCCCTCACATTAAGGAAAAAAAAAAAAGACTTTCCCCTCAAATGGGTGTTGAAATTAGGTAGATACATGTTTACTATTGTAGGTGATTCAGAAAGTTATTTTCTTAAAGATTGTTTAATGATAAACTAGATGTTTATTGTGTAAGTGTTGAATTTCTGTAATTTGGGTTTACTGCTTTCATAACACTTCTGGAGAATATTTCTATTTTTTTTTGTCTTTTTTCGTGACCCGCAACGGATCGCAACCCTCAGTGTTGCCCCCGCTCCTCGCTCAGCCAGTGAGCGGCCGGTCTGAATTTGGGATCCAAACCCTCGGCGGGAGCGCCACCGCGCTTCCCAAGCGGCGCACTATAGCAGTGCGCCACCGGGCCAGCCGATCTGGAGAATATTTCTAAACTTGATTGCACAGACTATTTATAACCAAGGACTTTCACTATAACTGAGACCAGTAAGCAACTTGGTGTCCATGGCCAAGTTGTTTTTTATGTTTTGTAGTAGATGACATGACCAGAAGGAAAAGAGTTTAGATTCAATTTTATAAATGTGTATGGTATATTTTTTATGTGCAAAACACTGTATTTTGTACTTTGGGAGAATTAAAAATCAGAAAGATCTCTGCCTCAAATTAAGTGGAGGAGACAAAGAGTTTGCAAAAATAACTCCCATACATGACATATAATAAATGCTAAAACAAGGAGCTATGGAGTTATAGGTGAGGAAAATACGGATTTTAAGAGGGAGAATATGAGACATTGATGGAAGTGACATTTGAAGAGGATCTTGAAATTCCAATAGGACTTGTAATTTAGCTTGCATATGTGCATTGTTTGGCTAAAGAGTGTTTAAAAGTATTAAATTTGAAGGGGTATATGCTTTCCAAGGTCCCAGCCTCTTTCTACCATCTTATGTTATTGCCGGTATCATTCCTTTAGATTTTTTACTTGGCTTTTGATAGCATTTGGGTGTATTGCTCATATATCAGAGGAAAGGGATATAATATGTTCAGATCACTATGAACACCTAATCAGAAGCATCAGGGATGGTACCTGAGATGGGTGGGCAACCTCTCCTGCTGTTATAACCTCTTTTATTGATGTTTGCTACCAAGAATTCCAGGAAGTAGGACTGACAACATAGTTTCAAAATATATCTCAATGAGATAAATTTTCCACCAGATATAGTTAACCTTAGTTGATGTTTTGCTTTTGTTATTGTTACTTTATTCATAGAAAAAAAATTTTTGGTCTCATTGCCTTTTTTGGGTGGTATTTAATTACTCAGATTGACTGTCAGCAGGTTTTCCCCATCAGATTTACTGAAAAAATTTTAGTGTCAAGGAAGTGTTTATTGATATTCTCACTGGCTGAGAGTGAACAATACCTTATACTGTTTCAGTGGATTTAATATTCATTAAATTGCACTAGTAATCAAGTTGAGTGTTAGCAGTATTAAAAGTAATACCATTTGATAAATTGTGGTAATGTACTTTTAGACTTTAATTACATTCAAGTTATTATGAATAAATCTTTAAAATTTATAGAAGACTTTGGAGGAGCTTGTCTTTTCCTTGTAATTGCAGGTGTTTTTAAATGCAGAATTTATGTTAGTATTTTCTCTAGATGTTTTGTTTTCTGCTTCATTTTACTCTGAGCAATTTTAAGTTATGACACATATTTGAACTAGTATACAAAATAATTTTTGTTTTGGTGAATTTCATATTTACTTATAAACCTTTTAGTCTTAAAAGATTTCTTGATAAAGAAACTTAGTCATATTAAGATATTCAGAAAGTAGGGTTGAATTGGCAATTTTCTCTTATAATTAGCATTTACTTCTATGGATTTTGAACCTGATTTTGGGTAACTCGATGGTGATGGAGCTGAATTATGCTAGTGCTCTGTGTGTTTCTTACAAGTTTCTTTTATTAAAACTTGAAGAGTTAATTCACTAGCATAACATTAAGCCAATTAAACTTTATATGAATATTAAAGAAAATGAAAGTTAAGTTACAGAAAGCTAATAATAAAGAGTACAAGCTACCTTGCTAGAAGCTGTTAAGATACAAAGCAGAGTAAGGTATAGTTTTGTTCTCGAAAGCTTATAGTGGCAGGAGAAATAAGATATGTGCATAAATGAATATATTATATTTTAATAATCCATTTACTCTCTGACTTCTCTAGATGGTAGTTTAACAACTTCTCATCTCAAAACAACTCTGTTATCTCTGTGATCGTGACTTTGCTTTTATTTGCCTTCTTCTCTGTTATCTCTGTGATCATGACTTTGCTTTTATTTCACTAAGAAAACAGAAATCACAAATTTCCTGCACCGCATTTGCTTTACTTCCTGGTGCTTTAAATCAACCTTCTAGGTTTATATCTATGGCTAACTTCTCTATTTGTGCATTGAATCCTATTTCTTCTTGTATTCTTGGGATACAGTACTCTGGTAAATATTCTCTTTCTCTTTAATACCATAAATTTTTCTTTCTCCACTATATCATTCCCATAAGGACGCAAAGATGTTGTAATATTTCCCATCTTTAAAAAATCTCTCTTATATTCTCTTTCTCTTTAATACCATAAATTTTTCTTTCTCCACTATATCATTCCCATAAGGATGCAAAGATGTTGTAATATTTCCCATCTTTAAAAAATCTCTCTTTTGATCGCACATTTCCTTCTAGTTACCATTTCTTTCTGTTTCCCTTTATTGCAATGTATTTAGAAAGGCTTGTTTTTATTAATTGTATCAAACTTCCTTCCTCTATTCTCTCTTGAATCCATTCTAGCTCTCACACTATTGAAAGTCCTTATTTTTTCTTTGTCAAGGTGTCTAATGACTGCCATATTCTTAGATCCAACAGCCAGTCCTTACTCCTCATCTTACTTGATTTATCATCAGCATTGACAAAGTTGATCTCTGTCTCTTCTCTAAATCACTTTTTTCTTTTGACCTCTGAGATCTTGCTCTCTTTTGGTTCTCATTTAGCCCATTGGTGGCTTCTTCTTGGTCTTACTTTAGGTAGAGCCTAAGATCTTGAATGCCTGCCATTCAGCCTTACAGAGAGATAAATCTGCCAGGCCTCACAAGCATGTTATCTATAGCAGTTGTTCAAGAATTAAGCCTTTCTCTTTTCTGTGCTCTTTTGTAAAGTCATACACCGTCTCTCCTGAGCC